AGAAGTTGCTGCGGCCAAGATCAAAGAGGTTTGTGTCTGCTTTCTCCTCAAGGATTTTGATGGCTTCCTGTCTTACATTGAGGTCTTTCATCCATTTTGAGTTTATTTTTGTGTATGGTGTAAGAAAGTGGTCCATCCAGGTTCATTCTTCTGCATGTCGCTGTCCAGTTTTCCCAGCACCACTTGCTGAAGAGACTGTCTTTATTCCATTGGACATTCTTTCCTGCTTTGTCAAAGATGAGTTGGCGATATGTTTGTGGGTCCATTTCTGGGTTCTCTGTTCTGTTCCATTGATCTGAGTGTCTGTTCTTGTGCCAGTACCATACTGTCTTGATGATTACAGCTTTGTCGGGATATCTTTTCATATGCTTACTTCACATCTGTTTATTTTCTTTGGTGAAATGTCTATTAAGGTTTGTGACTGATTTTTTTTTTTTTAAGTTTTTAATGTTTATGCATTTTTGAGACAGAGAGAGACAGAGTGTGAGCAGGGGAGGGGCAGAGGGAGACAAGAATCAGTAACAGGCTCCAGGCTGCAAGCTGTCAGCACAAAGCCTGATGCAGGGCTCGAACTCACAAACTGCAAGATCATGACATGAACTTAAGTCAGCTGCTCAACTGACTGAGCCACCCAAGTGCCCGCCCCTGTGACTGATTTTTTAAGTTGGGTTATTTATTGTTGAGTTCTAAGAGTTCTTTGTATGTTTTGGATAACAGACTTATCATGTCTTTTTTTTTTTTTTTTTTTTTTTTTTTTTTTTTTTTGGAGAGAGAAAGCGTGGGGGGACAGAGAGAGAGGGAGACAGGATCTGAAGGGGGCTCAAACTTATAAACCATGAGATCATGACCTGAGCCGAAGTTGGATGCTTAACTGACCAAGCCACCTAGGTGCCCCCAGATATTTTCTCTCATTCTATGGCTTGTCTTTTCATTCTCTTGACATTGTCTTTTGCAGAGCAGAAATTTTCAACTTTAATGAAATCTAGCTCATCAGTTCTTTCTTTCACAGATTGTGCCTTTTTGTGTTGCATCTAAAAAGTCACCATTAAACCCAAGATCATTTAGATTTTCTCCTCTGTTATCTTATAGGAATCTTAGAGTTTTGTGTTTACATTAGTTCTGTGATCCATTTTGAGTTAATTTTTGTGAAGGTTGTGTACAGTCTTATGTTTAGATTCATTATGACCTCAGTATTGTGCTGGCTGTTGCTCAAAGGCTGTACTCAGTTACTTGCCTTGGCCTTTGCAACATGGCTACTTGCTTTTACAAAGCCAGCAAGAGAGTGTGCTAAGGCCGACTTTATAGTCTTATGTAATATCAAGCAGCATCCTTTCATTTTACCTGTATTCTTGTCACAGCTTCTGCCCACATTGTAGGAGAGAATCTAAGTACGAGGAGACAGGGATAATTGGAGACTGTCTTATCTGTTCTCCATACTATGGATTACTTGAAATACGACATTCATATTTTTTAAAAATACTAAGACTACATGTCACTTTTCAGGGTTAGATAGATACTTTTGTTGGTATAATGGTAGCAGTTTGAGAATATTCCTCCAGAGTTTTTTCTTATGTGTTTAGTGACATGGTGTATTATTTTCTATAGTAACCATCCAATTGTACATCTAGTTTGCTTCTTAATCTGGTTCTAAATGTTAAATTAGTAATGTCCTGGTGTAAATCTTTTTGTGTAAAGTTTTATGATATATAACTTTGTACTTATTACCTTAAAAATCTCTTTTTCTCTCGGGGCAGGTACATCAGGAGCGTCTCTATCAAGAATACAATTTCAGCAAGGCTGAGGGCCATCTGAAACAGATGGAGAAGATATACACTCAGCAAATACAGAGTAAGGATGTAGAATTGACCTCTATGAAGGGGGAAGTCACCTCCATGAAGAAAGTGCTAGAAGAATATAAGAAAAAGTTCAGTGACATCTCTGAGAAACTTATGGAGCGAAATCGTCAGTATCAAAAGCTCCAAGGCCTGTATGATAGCCTTAGGCTGCGAAACATCACTATTGCTAACCAAGAAAGTATGCTGGAACCATCCATGATTGCACAATCTGGTGTTTTTGGCTTTCCATTAGGTAAGAAAGGACATATAATATCCAATAACTGTTCTTTAAATCTTTCACATTGTGTTCGGCACAGTTCTAGAAAGTCAATGGAGACTCCAAAGGCCTAGAGTGGTGATAGGTTCCAGATTCCTTATCCAGGTCTAAACATGTACATCTTTGCTTTTATTTATTTTTATTTGCTTGTGGTTAAGTTACATCTTCATTGTAAACAGTAAATCTCTTCAAAATAGTTTGCAAATTGATACTTTAAGTGAAAAGCTGTTTCCTTGCAGTAATATTAGTTGCCAGTTTTCGATTCCTTACTAAGGACTAGATACTGTTATAATATTACATATATTCATTTTATTTTTAAAACTTTGTGAAGTAGTTATTACCCTTATTTTACAGATGAGAAAACTGAGGCACAGAAAGTTTAAGTAAATTAGTCAAGTTACAGAACTATCTTCAGAGCCCACACTCAACCATTTCCTATCCTCAAGAAGTCCATGTTTCATTTTCTTTCACATGGCAATACTGATTGCACAGTACTTAAGTTATTGTTGGTTTACTTTTGTTTATTCATTCATCAAGTGTTTATCAAACATACTTCATGTACTAGTCTGCTAGACATAATCCTAGGCAATGAGAATATAAGGATTATGCAGATAGGATTCCTGCTTTCTGGAAGTGCACAATCTCGGAAGATACCAGTTCTTTTCTGCTTGTTAGGTGCCTTGACAGATACAATGAAACTCCTGTCTCTTCCTGAGTTCTCTTTATACTATTCTTGATATAATAGAATCCAAGTGATTTTTACTATGCTATTAGTATAAATTAGTTTTGGAATGTAAAAAAGTGAAGTTTCATGTGCTGAATTTCCTAAATACATGTTTTTTGAATTACAGCCTGAGGAAAAACATTTAGTAGGGGAAGAGATGTCCTAGAAAAGGCAGGAAGTAATAAGGTGAAGAATATTAGATATAAGAATTGAAGCAAAAACAAGTTTTTGCTTAAATTTCAGTTAATCACAATTATAGTCAAAGTGTTACTGTATATTAACATTATAGATATTTTTTCCTTGTTACAATCCACATTTATGTTGATTTCTTTATATTCATCAGTTCTTTCCTGTTCCACTTTTTATGCACACTTAACCTTTTTTTTAACTTTTTTTTTTTTTCTAATTTAT